TGGAGGCAATGGAAAATACTAGCAACCAATTCCTTTCTGTTTTACATAAATATAAAAGCAGGCAGGTGTCATTGTCAATGGCTGCATATCAGTTCAGGAACTGAAAGAAATCTACTTTTATTCTTTCATCATGATGCTAAATGTGTTATGATGCTTTGAGCAACTTTTAAGTTCTTTCTGAAAAGAATCTGCTTTCAGAAAACTAATGAAGATTGCTTCACTTTGGTGGTGAGTTTTTTATGTTTCGCTGATGTTTTGTTGTCTTGGTTTTTTTTGTAAATAGTGTCAGCTTTATGGTTGTGAATTTCCAACATCTGCAAAAAGCAAAAATAATTTTATACTAATGGAAAAGCCTTCTCATTTCCACAATAACCAGTATTTTTCAACTAAATGAAAATTTATTAGTAGAGATAGAAAATCCACTCATCATCTTACAGCTGTGGTGATGGAAAGTAACTGAATGCTGTGGAAAGGAATCAGGATAAGTTTGGCTGCAGTGAAATAGGCAGCTAGACTATGTCACAATTTATTGAAATTATCTTTATCAATTTTTGTTTTAATGGATGTTTTCTTTTCTAGACAAATCTTTCAGTAAAACTTTTTGGCATAAAGCTTCCAGTTAACTCATGTAAATACAGTAATTTATGTTCAGAAAGCCCTCTAGTGAAAAGTTGAGTTATTTCTGCTGTGTACTTGGCTTATAAAAAAGATGCAGAAGGTACCCTCCAATTTATTGGAAACATACCAAGAAAGATTTAGAAATAATCACAAAGAATAGCTGAAAAAACCTAATTTCTTGTGTTTTAGCTGCTCTATCAATTTCCTTTTATCCTGATGGTCAAGGATAGGCACATGAAAAAAAAAACCAACTTTATTACCAGAAAATAAAAATAAAAAAAAAAAGAAAAGCCTTAAAATGGCACAAATGTGAACTGAAAAGTGAAATTAATTTTATCAACCTCTCAAGGGAGGAAGAAATTGGTCTGGAAATTCATTGCAGTGAAATGAGTGAGTTATTTTGCTGACTGTCAGTGGTAGGTAACACTGTAATGCAATAAGTGAAGTCCAGGTTTGAATAGATAGAAAATTAATCTTCAGCCACTGTCTCCTGTGGGATTTTTCTGTGCCAGTATTGATTGCATTTCAGCTCCTGACTTGAGAGAGAAATTGGTTGGAGTTGAGTTTTAATTATATTCACATGCTGGATCACTTTCCATCAAAATATGTGTTTTGCTACTTTTCTGAGAACAGAGTTTAACTGGGTATAAAACTGCACCAACTGACACCACAATCTGTCAGGCTTTTCATTGAAATTCAAGATTAAAATAATGAATAACATTGAGGTTTTCCATTTTAATAATTCCTGGTTTTCCTTTTTCTTTTTTTTTTTTTTTTAATTTTTTCAGATTTAAGCTACTTGAAATTCAAAAATTTGCAAATTAAAAATAAATAGGTTTATTTTCTGTAGAAGAATCCACTACAGTATAAATTTTTTCTTTCTTGTCAGGAGGAGTTCAGCACTAATTTGCCAATAATGGTTCTGATACTTAGCTGCTGTGTACAGGACTAGTTCAGACACCTTTAGATTTACAGAACAAATTGTTCCTATGTGAGGGTCACTTCGAGATGTTAAAGGATTTTGTTATTTTTTTTCTTTGTTTTTTGGGCAGATTGATGTGTTGTTTCAGTGTCAGCGCTGTACATCGCAAAATACTCCCACAAAGGTCAACAAGAGCAGTGTGAAAGCATCTACATTACTTTATGTAGTTATAAATCCGGCATTAATGAAGTTGGGAAGAATTTTTAGATTAATGTTTTTTGGTTGGATATCATGGAATATCAGTAGGAATAACAACAGAGTCAGTCACAGTCTTTTTCAGGGGGACCTGTGTGCGTGCTATTAGAAAAGTGAGTAGATTTTTTTTTTTTTGGTTTGAGTTTTTTTTTGGGTTTGTTTTTTTTTTTTTTAATTTTAAGGCATTCATGTCTCAATTAATTAAGTGGTTTCAATCTCAAAAAATTTAATCATATTTTGGCAGTAGACATGAAGCTTCTTTCAGACCATATGAGTGAATGGAAGGACTGAAAGGTTGTATTTATTAATTGGAATGAAATTGCAATATCAATTAGAAGAAACATGATCATTTTATGTTGTGTTGCTTCAGGAATTTTGAGCGAAAATCTAAATATATTGTAGTACAAAAACTTCCGTGCAAGACCTGTTAAGATGGACTGTATGGAACAATGTGTGATTCTTGGGACTGTTTTTTGTAGGGCCAGAAGCTGAACTTTGATGAACTTTGAGTAGTCAGTCCATTCCAGCTCAGGATCTTCTTTGATTCTATGTTCACACCCTTTCTCTTGTACCATACCCATTCCCTCCCAAATATTTCTTGTGGAAATTTAGTTGAAAGAAATCCTTTGACATTCACTCATCCTGGTATTTTAGTGTGGTTACGTGGCCTCATGAGCCCCAATTCTTTTCTGAAGTGTACTGTGAAAACCTTGAGGTTTTGTAGTCTTTGCTACTAATTTTTAGAAATAAGAGTGTTAGAATTTTTTTTTTTTTTAATCAAATGACTTTCCAACAGAAGGGAGATTTTGCCGCATGAATGATTGACTATTGGGATTGCATTTGCATAATTAGACAAAGTCATTACTTTGAGCAACTTGAAGCTAAAAGATAACTTATGAAAAGAACTCCAGAATTTGTGTAATGTTTTGCATGCCAGTTTTGGGGCATGAAAAAAAAACAAAAAACTGTGGGATAATATAGAAGCAAAAACCCAAGCAAACAACACAACAACAATCTATGAAACATTGAACCAAATTACATTGTCTGAAGCTGTCATAATGCTGTGTCATTTCAAATCATATGATGAATAAACTGTTACTGATTCTGGCTTTAGTCTGCACCCTTCAAAGTAAGTTATAATGGTTGTGAGCCTTGTCTGGCTGCCAGTTGTCCACAAAGCTGTCTGTCACATTCTCCTGTACCACCACCCTCTCCTGCACTGAGAAAATAAGACCATAAAAGATTCATGGATTGAGCTAAAGATGGTTTAATAAAGGAAAGCAAAGTCCAAACATTGAAGCAGTGAAAATAAAAACTATTAATTCTTTACTTCCCACCAGCAGGCAATGTCCAAACACTTTGTGTAGGATTTTAGGACACACACCAGTTGCTCCACAAATATTCCACCTTCATGATGAATATCCCCCCTCTCTTCATTTCTCTGAACTTGTAGTATTTAGCAGGACATCATTAGAAAGGAGTATTTATTTGATCATCTTGGGTCAGCTCTGCTGGCTATGTCTCTTCCCAAACTCTTGCCCATTCCCAGAATGGGGTTAAATACTTTACAACAAATTGACCTCGTCAGCATAAGATGTAGTAGCTATGCTGCATAAAAATAGTCAAAATCAGTACCCAGCTTCTTTTCTTCTGGAAGTTTAGTGGACTTGTGAGATTCATCTCACCTAATTCTAGGCAGCTGTATTGCTGACTTCTACATCTAGGTGATTTGCACTAGAGCTACTTCTACAATCAATCAAAAGTAGGAGGCACTTCTAAAGCATGATTCATGTCATGGGGAAATAGGTGTCTAATTAGGATAAGATGAATTGCACTCTAAACATTCCCATTCCTCTTCATTCACTATGAAGGCAGCCTGCAGTGATGAGCACAGCACTGCTGGGTTGTTGAAATTGGTGGCTGTCCCTGGTTAGATGAGTTTTGCTCTTTGTATTTCCAAAGGAAACCAGTTCTTTAAAACCCACCCAGGTTTTTGCTGCTTAATTCAGTTAGCATTTGAATCTATACTTAGAATGGCATTGTTCTGTAAAGGTGAGGTGAAGCAGATGAGAAAACATAGGCAGTTTCATTACATGGCATTGTGGATAAGCTAAGATTTATCTTTTTATACTTTGATAGAGGATAATAAACAGAATGGTCTCAGCACACACTCGCCCGACTGACCATCAGATGCTTCATTGTCAGCACTATTTATCAAGCATAGCACTTTTGCAAAAACTGATGGCTCTAAAGTATTAAAAATCTCCTTTTAATTGCCTCCAATAGCCAGCCTGAGTAATCATTCAGTATCATAGTTGCTGTATTATTGCTTTAAGTGGCAGTCAACCCATGTCATAGGGCCTCCTGTTCCAGCTGCAGCTGAAACAGATGAAGACACTCCCACCTCCTCTTTGGCCTTCATTTCCTCCTTCATTCTACAATTCATGCAGGTTTTGTAGCTGAATTAGAAAAATTCTCTGCTTTTCAAAATGTTTAAGAACTAGTACAAACTAGTAAATTGGAAGGAATCAAGAAATGTGTATCAGGGTGCAGACAGGTGAGAGAGGATTGGAACCCAAGGCAGACAGGTGATGGTGAGCGCCTGAGTGTTTAGGGACCTTTCCTCTCAGACAGATTTAGCCAGTACATAGGATTTCACTGAGACATGCTTAAAATAAATCAGTGAAAAAAAACCCTAATTCAATCAGAAATTTCAAAAAGGCTTAATTTCCTTGCTTTTTCTGGATGTACACCACTGTTTCTGAAAAATCTGTTTATGCAATGTATATGGGTGATACAATTTTTAGATTTGTGGTATGTGATGTAATCTGCAGAAGTAAAAAAAAAAAAAAGTAATATTTAAGACTTGGTGCAAATTATTACATGTAATAAAAGGTAATTTGCGTTGTGTTACGGGTGTAACAGTTCCATGCATTTATGAAATTTAAGTGTGTATGGTGTTTAGGCTCATACTTTTCCTTTGCAGGTCTTCATTTCACTGAATTGCATTGGGTAAATCAAAACTGAAAGCAAACTACACAAATATTCCTTGACCTGGAGAAACTAATCGTGCTTATATAGAAATGTAAAATGTTAGCAATGGAAGAAAAGCTATGATTTTTAACGTAAAAAGAGAAAATGTGAGTGCCATTGTTTTTAGCCCACTTTTTAATATTTTGCCCTTTACATGTTTTTCTTGAAAAAGCCTGAAAAGAATGAAACTGAATCTGGCAGCCAGAGAATCAGACCAGTATTTGAAGACGATCCTGTTTTCCGACGGCAAACGTCTTACCAACATGCAGCAGTCCACATACCAACAGATATTTATGAAGGCTGTAAGTAGCATGTGAACAAAGTGATTTTATATTTTAATTCTAAGCTCATTATTTGTTTCCCCTTCTTAAAACAATGTTTGTCTCCATTTTTAGTACAGGTTTGCTGTTATTGTCACCTTCACTTCTTTCAGTGCTACTCCATAGAAGCGTCGTATTAGGGATATGATTAATTTTATTAATTTGGTAGGTGCTGCAGTTAAAGAGATCCACTAGAATTGGATCTGAGTTTCACAAATGTAACTATAAGTGAAACAAAACTCTTGCATATTCTGATTTTTTGATCCATTCTTTCTCTGTGCTGTTCACATTTAATACAAACAATTCATGACAGCTCTTCTTTACACTCTGTTTGGCCTCAGGCAGAGATGAGTTCTGAAAACATTTTTAAGTATCTCATGAGCTGGTACAGTTTAGTGAAATAACATGCTGTGTGAGCTGGTAGTACCAATATTTCATCCAGTACATTTCTAGAATTGCAGTAACAGACTGGCAGAGAATTTACACAGCCTTTCTAAAGTATGCAAAAAGTAATATACATATATATATATATATGTGTGTGTGTGTGTTTGTGTATACAGATGAGGATTCTTTAATAGTATCTTAAAACTAAGTGTTTATCTTTCAAGATGGAAATAAGTCCCTGTGCTCATCATCAAGCAAAAATCTTTATACAACAAAAAGGCATTTCAGGATTCAAAAGAGCTGCATATTTTTTTAAAAGGCAGGAAGAAAAATTAAATAGGATTTGTATTTTTAAGTTTTGATTATTTTTTTTTAATTTAAGGTCCTAATTTCAAGGATCCAGTCTTTTTCCTCTTTTAAAGTCTCATCAAGAGGAAAGAGACCCTGGTGTGACCTGAGCTTTTTAAAATTCATGGCCACAGTTGTGTGCAGCTTCCATAAATGGCACAGGGATGAAAATGGAAATGTCAGTATGATGGGGAAAAGAATCATAGTAGCTCGTATTCTTATATGGTGAGTTTGACTGACAGACCTAAAGGATTATTCTGGGATTCTGGCTTTAATAAGTGCTAAAGTGCACCTTAATTGCAGGATTACAGAGAAGTGACAGGTCATTTCATTTTTGTTTTCATTTTTTGGAAGGAAATTGATACTTCACTGTTAAAATGTTGGAAAAGCTAGTCTCCAATTATTTATTTATATTTATAAATATAATATTTATTTATATATTTATAAATGCCATGTGAGCTTTGGTATAAGATTGTCATCATAACAGTACAGAAAATGTTTTCTTGTTGTGCTGAATTTACCATTTTAAATAGAATTCCTGAGGACACATATCTTAAAAAAATGTATACTTTCTAATGTTACTGTACAGTCCATACACCTGAAAAGGAAGACAGATTATTATTTCCACAGGAAAAGTACAACTTTAGTATCTAATAGAATGATAATAGCAGAAAGAAATGTACATTTCAGGACAGAGAAATGTATGTGCATGTGCAGCATAAGTGGTTTGTGATTCTTTGAGTCCGGTTTTTATATTAATTACCAGAGGAATGAAAGCCTAGAAAATTACCAGGAAGTCTGTAATTCTATGTCAGAAAAATGACGTTATTGTGTTTCTGGGTAACTTTTTGTTACAGATGGATTTTTCAGAGATAACAGCTTGAGAATACCTAAAAGTGACAGATTTCATATCAATAAATACAAAGTGTTCACCAGGTTCTATTTTATAGTCACAAAGTTCATGTGTCATCTCAAACACAAGTGAGCAGTTGTGAGGTAATCATTCACCAACAAACTTCCAAAAGTAGAATTTAGTGTTGTTCTTTTCACATTATGATCTACAAGCAATTTTTACAACTCTAGAAAGACAGATAATGCATCTTGAACACTGTTGTCATTATTCTGCCTGTCCGTGGGAGCTAACCTGTCGTTTCTTGTGAGGTTTCAGTGTCCACTATAAGGGAGCAGCTGTACATTTGAAAACGGTATCTGCAATTCCTTGTATAAATCCCAATCTGCTTAGAAGCATTTGCAACACAGGCATTACAATGAATCCTTCTGAGAATTAGTGGAAGAGACACAGTTCCAAGGTTTTACAGTTTGGAAGCAAATTTTTTTGACTGACTTATGCCTTGGCAAACAGATTTCATTTTTTCTCCTTTATTGTATATGCTTTGCAGGTGGCCAAGAGAAACAAAGAATTGCTCTTTGAATCTCACAGAACAGTTTTCAATGACCAGATATTTGACTTGCCTATTCCTCCTTGAGATTGGTTTTCACTTCTCTTGCCTTTTGCAGCAGCACATTGCTGTCTCTAGGGGAGAGGGACAATTACTGTTAGAGCCACATGTGATCAGGATTTTCACTTGGGCCTGTCAATCACACTTCTTCATGTAATTAATTATTTTCTGTATGAAACTAGGAATTTGGCTCTTAACCATAGAATCACAGAATCATTAGGGTTGGAAGAGACCTTTAAGATAATCAATATGCTATCCATTAAAATGTTTTCTATTAATGTTTCCTTTCTATTGTATTTATTACTTATGACTATTAATGATTTTTTTAATTGAATCAAATAATGAATTTCTGTCCACTTATATTTTTGAAATTGGGAAACTGTTTTGTCTAATAATTCTGTAATGGTGCACAACATACGTAAAATCTAGTGTGGTCTATAAAATAATATCTTTTTCTTACATACCTAGTGATTTGCTTTGTTTGAAATACAGAAATGAGCTTCTTGTGAAGTAGTTCCTTGTATTTCACCATAAAAATATGAGATACATTATAACAAAATATCCATTTACTGTATCCAGGCTATTACTTTGTGAGTTATTTGATTGTAGAAAGAAGTATTATGAAAGTTGTTCAGGTTTTTTTAATTTTTTTTTTTAATTTTCCTGAATCTTGTGCCAAAACCTTTGCAGAGACAGGAGAAAGTCTAAGGAGTTAATTTACTTGCCTGTGTCTGAGGATTGAAGAAAGAAGGCAATCCCAATAAAATAGAACCAGATCAGACTTTAAATTCAGTAATTTTCAAGAGGCCCATTTAGGTTTTGAAATAAAATCAATCTGCAGCTGAAAACAGAACAGACCCTCAGGTCCTCTTTCTAACACATGCACTAGGAATTAGTCATGCATCTCCTATTAGTAATAGCTGAAGTCTTGTTTCTAAATCCTCATTAAAACTGTACCCTGCTTATCCCTAAGCAGAATATAGGAGCTGCAGGCCAGAAGTAAGGGGAAATCCCTGGCCAGGTTAATCTTCCCAGTGGGTACACCACGTGCCCTGGCTGTCTGGGATCCACCCTCCCCATCTGCTGCAGTGATTCCTGCAGTGATTCCTGCAGGTGAATGTCTGCACTGGTGTTATGGCTTGAGGTGAGGTGTTAGGCAAAGCACACAAACCAGGTTTGCTTTTTTCTGTGTGGTTATTCCTACTTTACTCCCTTTAAATCAGAAAAAGTGCTTCCACATGTCACTCACTACTTGATAAGCGTGGAAGAACTGATTAAAGTGTCAGGTTGAAAGAAATGTGTCATGAACATGACAACATAGCTTTGAATATATTTGGACAGCAACCAGCAAGAAAAAAGGGCTTCCCTTCTCCAAAGCCATCAAACTAGGCATAAATATTGAGTTACAAGTAATTGATGGTCCATATACCTTAGTAACAATAAAATACAAATACTATTGCTTCATATTCCCCTTTCATGGCAGTCAAAATTTTTTTTTTGTCTGAAGTCTTGTATTTATTATATATTATTTGATGTCAAGTTTGGCAGTGGACATAATTTTTGTCTTTCTAGTGGTGCATCATATATGTAAATAATTAATTATGGATAAAATATTTTGACATTCTAGTACTCCAGTATATCACTCAAGGGCAATAAAAACTTTTAGAAATAATTTAAAAAAAAGAGTTAGATGCTACAGTGATTTTTTTTTTTTTTATCTCAAACAGAATATTATTTCCTTGGTGAATTTTTAAAATGTTGTACAGTTTCTGTGTATCTCAAGCTAAGAGCTTGAAAAGAAAACAAATACCATTTGGGAACAGCAGTCTAGTGGAAGGAGTTCCAGCATATGGCAGGAATGTTGGAAGTAGATAATCTTTAAGGTCCCTTCTAACTCAGTCCATTCTATGATTCTGTGAATAAAAACCTTGGAAATACTGGGAAATGAAACCATGAGTGTGACAATATCACCCCTCCAAAAGAAACCCCCAAATTAAGTAAACTAGGAAAAAGTGTGTTATCATTTATTCAATGAAGGTCTTATGTGTGGATAACAGATAAGATTTATTAAGGAATCCAGATATGGATAAAGTGTTGTGTAAATATTTTGACGTGCTACATCCGCATACCTTAATTATCTAAAGACAATAAAACGGTTGTGGGCTTTTTTTTTTTTCTATTTCATTTAAATAGTTACAGTTACAGAGAGCCAAGACACTTTTATTACTTAAATTACATAGTTCATTATATTTTCAGGTTAGTGTTCGTGTTATATATTTTGTGATAGCTGACAAACTGAAGGTATTCTCTTGGTCTATTGTAATAGATAAATGAATAGTGCAGACTTATTACACTGGAGATTGAAAAATTATTGTTTCAAGTCTCTGATTTTGTGTGTGTTCACACCTTGAAATTTGGAAATAGATATTATGTATGTCTTGTGCAGTTAGTAGTAATCTCAGCATGTGAGATTACTGTAACTTCAGACTTTTTTTTGTTGTTGTTGTTGTTTCTCTGTTCATCAGGGAGTTATTTGTGAAAACATGTAATGAGTGAAGTAGACCTTTAAATGAATTTCAGTGTCAGCCTGTTTTAAATACCAAAGATTATGGCTTGGGGTAACTATAAAGCAAATGTTAGTTGCAGCTAAGTCCCTAAGTACTGCCTGGTTGGTTCAATATTAAACCTGGAAGGAAAATACCACTGCAGAAGCTTAAGTAAAGAACTCTAGGGTCAGTAGTGCTTTTTATGCTCTGACAATTACAGTTGGTTATTTTTCCCCCCCAGGTA